CAGCTGGTCCATCCAGGGCAGATTGCACGATCCGGATGCGGGCTTTGTCGCTGGGAATATCCTGCCCATATTCCTCCATGTAGCTGAGGACTTGGGTTAGGAAAAACCCCCAGCGTGTTGGCTCCCCTTTGAATTTCACTTCCAACGGTGGACGTCTTGGAATGGATCGGTGCCTCTGTTGTGGGTGGTAGTGCCTTCCGTCCAGATTGCCATCTGTGGTCCAGTAGGGGGTGGGAGCTCCTGGATCAGTAGATGTCCCTGGGGTTGCAGGTTCCATGTCCCCCTCGGTGTCTCTCCCTTTGCGGCTCCAGGAACTGGGGCGGCCATAGGGTTCAGTATTCTCCTCTCCTAGGGAGCTGAGAGTTCTTTTCATCAGGTCAATAGCTTTCTCTAGGATCCAGTCTGAGTACGGTGCCCAGCTTCCTCCCTCTTCACTTGCGTGCAGGGATTTCTCCATCTCCTGCTTCCATTCTGGTTGCTTGGTCCCCCGTCTCAGGGTCATCTTTCTTGATTCCTTTCTCCACTCACTTTTCTTTCCAATGTCCATCGACCAGCGAGGCTTGTGGTCCTGTGTCTCCACCACTTCTTCTCCTGAGGAATCTGGCCTCTCGGATCCCAACATCTGGCAAGGTTCCAACTGGGTCAGCGGCTCTCTTTCCAGGGAGTTTTCCCCCTCTCTTGCTCCATTGTCTGACATGGTAAATTTTTGCAAAATCCCCCGGCAAGGGTCTCCTTCCAGGTGGATTAATTTTGCAAGTCCTGTCTAATGTAAGGACCCACCCCACTTTGCATCTTAAGAAGACAGAACTCTTGGAATAATTCTTCCAACAGGAATCCTTTATTAAGAGAAAATGGTTGCAGGCATGCTAGACAGGACTTGGGGTCCAAGCTCTCCCATTCAAGGTTTTAAGGGGTTCCCCAGTAGTCCCACCCAATCAACCCCCCCTTCCAGTGATAGTTTCAAGTATCACAATTCCACTCCCTTTCTTCTTTCTTCCGTCTGGATGGAGACTTCAGATAACTACATGAAAGGCAATTACTCTCCTTTGGTATGCTAACACTTCGAGGTTACAATAAACACACATTCAGCATTTAGCTCTTTGAAGTGTAAAGAAGGAAGTGAGGGCCATAAAGCCCCTTTGTTCTCCCCCTTCTCTCCCTCTTATGGCAGAATCCAGAGAAGGCAGAATTGGGAGTTTCTATATTTGATAATTTAAAGATGAAATATAATTGGATTCTGACATTGTCAAAGGCTTTCTCTGCATCCAAAACTATTAAAGCTGCCTACTTCTCATTATGGTATTGTAGCTATTCAATAATAGTCAAATATTTCTCACATTGTCTCTTAACTGTCTATTTGACAAAAAAACAGATTGAATATATGTCTGTAAAACCATCTTTAATCTTTCTGCCAACAATGAAAAATAATCCTGTGTTTCAAATTCTTTTTTCCTAAACCAAATAAATTGGCTACAAATGTACTCACAAAACTATAATGTAATATTTATAATGTAACAGATTAACATTTTGACTTATTTAATAGGACACTTTTTGTTACCAAAAGCAAATACCCAACAGATAAAGAGCAATCCTTTGACAAATCCACATTATAACAAACCCAAGAGCATTAATTCGTTCAGCTTAGAAGAAGACACAAATAAAGCATGCAAACGTCTTTCCAAATTATTCTTCTATATTACTAACAGGAATAAGCTTTTGAATCAAGAACATCCCTATCACCAGTAAGAAAGGGCAAAAGATTCCTATAGCCAGAATCGTATGACGACAGCAGTGGCCAAGCACTGAAATTTGACAAGTATGAGACAAAGGAGAAGTTTTACTTACATGTACACAGGCTGATTTACTGAATCATAATAACGGTAGGTAGCCTGTTTGTAATGTAGCTTGTTTGATCCTACCGTATTACAATATGTAAACTTGGCCGCTACCTCGTATTCACAGGCATGCTAACTTTGAATATGAAGGTTCAGTTCAGCCATCAACAGCAACTCTGTATGGCAGGATAAATATTAGACTCGGCTAAAGAGGAAAGGATGCTCAACGTGCGAAAAAAACATTTCAGATGTGTCAATTGCTGTATTAACCAGTGTTGGAGACCAAGAGAGCAATGCTATTTTGTTCACACTCCTTTCTTTCTGCATTTTTTTCTCTTGAGAGCTCATGACATATTTTTGATTTAACTATTTTATGTGACTGATCAGAGTAAAAAGAGTATCAGAGTAAAAGGTGGAGTATTAACTGATTTACTTTGCTCCATACCTGAAATCAAAATTCTATTTTTCCCCCCATTGAGGAGACTTTCTATGCTTCACTGAACCCAGAAACTAAGCCACAAAGTAATGTGTGTACTTATGTGCCATTTCTAAAGGCATCCACAAGTTGCATTTGGTTTTGTGTATTTGAAGTGGGAAACTTACATTTATACATATTAATACAATAATTCACACTTCTTTTTATGAACTTACATTAAGTCATATATGCATATGTGTATAGACAAGAACTGACTACACCTATAAAATGTTATATTTGACTTCTCTTAGTTGATTCAAAAGGGATGACCATTCATCACTTCAATTTCAGTTTCAACTTCTGTTTTTTTTTTCTTTTGTTCAATCATGTCCAATTCCCACAAACTTCCTAGACAAGTCCTATAGCTTTTTTGCCTAGGTTTTCAGAAGTGGCTTGCCACTGCCTCTTCCTAGGGCTGAGAGAAAATGACTGGCCAAAGGTCATCCAGCTGCATCATGCCCAAGATGGGAGCAGCACTCACAATCTCCCAGTTTCTAACCTAAAGCCTTAAATACTACATCAAACTGGCTCTTCTACTCCTATTATAGCACTTAATTTCTTTGATTGTTTCTTTGACTATTATAAGACAGGCTAAATGAATTTTCTATTTTTTGTTTAAATAATTCTGCAGCAGATCATTTTCTTTGGAAGCAAATCAAATCATATTACAAATATTTAGAACACTCTATATCTTGATTCCAAATTAAGACCTTCTGTATCTCTAATCTTGAACTTTAGAGGGAATTTTATCAACCCTCTGAAAAGTCTACTGGCTATTTTTGCAAATATCATTTATATAAATGTAGACTCTAATTGAAACAAACATACATAAAACTGTGATTCACATATAGGTAATATGCAGGCTCTGAAGAGCATAGATAATGTTGCAATTTTATTGCACTATTAATACATTAAATTTTTGCAATGGTGAAAAATATCTGTAGCTCAGGTATAGGATGACGGTGGAGGTTCATTTTCCTAGCCTGGTAAAGAAAAGTTCAGAAACCAACCCACAAGCTCGGAGAATGAAACTCCACCCACATTAAATTCTATTTATAACATATGTAGGTAGGATAGGCAGCACTTTATTCACACAAGAAAGTAAGGTTTCATAAATAAAATTTATGAAATCTTTCCCCCCCCCAAAAAAAACATTGCTTTTAAGCATTGAAGCATACTGACCAATTATCAATCAAATATTATCTAAATGTTATCATTTGACCACAAATTAACCTATAACAAAGTCAACAAATATTCAATGAAACTAATACTATGGTAAACACAAACATCTTAAAATCTCATCATTTAAGCACATTTTGAATTTTACAATTTTCAGTGTTGGAATATTGCTGGAGTGGGGCAGTGGCTCAGCGGTTAAGACGCTAGGCTTGCCAATGGGAAAGCGAGCAACCTGGGTTCGAGGCCCGAGCGCCTCGTCCTATCCTCACCACAGCTTCTGCCAACTAGCAGTTCAAAAGCATACAAATACGAGTAGATAAATAGGTACCACTTCAGTGGGAAGAGAAACAGCACTCTGCGATATGTCATGCTGGCCACAGAACCATGGAAATATCTTCGGACGCAGACAGCGCTGGCTCAATGGCCTTCAAACGGAGATGAACACTGCCAGCTATAGTTGGCAACAGTTAGCAGAGTAAAATCCACAGAGATCCCTTAACATTTTTTGAAATGTTGGAAACTTAATGACAGAATTCCCATCTTATTTGGTTTAAACTTAAAGCAGTGAGTTTTACCATTTGGAACAACAGCAAAAAGTCAAGTTCTGCCTTTAAAAAAAAAGGGATGTCACCACCAAAGCAATTGCACTCTTTTGACAAACCTAGAAACACACAACCTGTTCTATCGACAAAAAGCAGCATCTCTTGGTCAACCCGGAGAATTTTTGGAAGCTCGGAGAGTTCAAAGTCCCCAAGGGATGCCCTTGAAAAACGAAGCGATACCTAGCAACCAAAGCTCTTTCAAAGGGACTAAGCCACTGCATACGGTGCTACACGTTATCTATCACCCGTCAAAGTACAACTCCTTTCACCTTCCGCCGACTAAAAAGACGGCGGCAACAAGCACCCCACTTGCGCTTCTCAGAAAAGAGCTGTTCCTGGGCCAAAAACGACGAACACACAATGCAACCCTTCGCATTTAAGGTTCGAGACCCAAAAAGCTTTCCCAGAAGGAAGCAGCTGGGCGCCTCTGCGCCCCGGCAAGAGTCCCGCGGGCAACCGTCGCGTTTGTACCCGCTCACCCTGGCCGAGGCCGCACCAGGGACGGAGCGATTCCGACCCCCTTAGGCCACGGAGAGGCGAAGGCAGCCGAAGCAATGGCAAGCACGGGAGGCAGGATACACGCGCCCGCTGACACCGCGACTGCCCCTCCCCGAGGGCGGCCGACGGACTGGCTCTCTCTCTCTCGCAGCCTGGAAAGGAGTGACCAGGCAAGGCGGCCTCCAACCAGACGGGGAGGGGATGCCTGAAAGGGGACGGGTAGAAAGGGGAGCGGGGTGGGCGTCCCATTGAGCGCCTCAATAAGGCTTTCTCCGCTGGGCCGAGATTTTCAGCCACGAAGGGGAACCAGGCGACGGAGGCCTTGTCGGTCGGGGGAGCCTCCCTTTCCAGCCGCGTTCCGCACCGCCCAAAAGCGGAGAGCCCCGCTGCCCCCGTCCCCTTCCTACTTACCGGCCCCGTTGCTGGCGAGGTCTCGCAAGCCGGCCCGCTCCCGCCGGCGACCCTGGTTCTCCCGCCCGTCGTGCTCGTCGTCACCGCCCCCGCCGTCGGCGCCCCCGCCCCCTCCTCCTCCTCCCGCAGCCAGGGCTGAGGCGCGTGCGATCGCGGTTGCCCCAGCCCACCCCCTCCCCGCCTCCTTCCTCGCTTATGCAACACAATATGGCGAGCAGCGGCAAACAGTGGCCACAAAGCACGCTGGGAAAACAAGCAGGAGAGGTACGCGATACGGTGTACGCGGAGCGGGCGGGGAGGGGCGTCGAAGTTCCGCGAAAGCTCCGCCTATTGGCCACGCCCCTCTCGGCTTCATTGTCCGCGGGTTCTGATCGGGGTTGCTGATTGTTCCGCTGTTGTGTTCCCCCGCTTTAGGCACTTCAACAATCCTTTACCTTCGTGCTGTGGCCTCTAGGTTTCCTACTGCTTCTTGCAAAATCAGTTTCTACTTCTCTTATAGCCTCCTCAGCTTTGATTCCTTTTGCTATGACTTCTCACTTGACTGGGTCCTCCTATAACTAAATCCTTTACGTTTTACTGTCTCTCACTGGCAACCGCCTCGACTAATCCTTGTAGTTTTTTATAAGATTTTGGAAATGGTTTGTCATTAATAAACAGTTTTCTTACCCAAATTCAGGGAACAGGTCTTCCTTCCACACCCACGGGGGGGGGGTGCCTGGTTTTTGAAGCAGCAGCCCCATGTAGTAGTCTGAACAGAAGATGACGAGGGCATAAATGACCACGAGCAGAGAGCAAGGGGCGTAATTGATGCACAACACAAAGTTGAGCAAAGACGCTCCTGTCAATGGCTGCCACTGCAATTGGAGCAGGAGGCATTATTACTTCTCAAGCTTCAGCATGCCTATTGAGGCAAGCTTGGACTTAAAGGCAAGAGTGGACCTTTTGTCCAGGATGGCATAAGGTCTCCTGCTTGAGAGGGGTTAGACTGTATGACCTTTGAGGTTCCCTCCAGCCCTGGGATTCTCTGTGACTGTTCCCAAAAAACTGGGAGGACCTCTTGGTCTCCCCCCCCCACCCCCATGAGATGGTAAAACTAAACTCCCCACCCTGCTCTCTAATCTCTCTCCCTTTGTAAATCCCATTTACCTGCCTGCCTGCCTGGAAAGAGGGAGACAACCCCTTTAAGTCACCTGCCTTGACTCCAGACTGAAGAAGAAAGGAAGGGAAGCAGAGGACATCTCTCTGCATCATTCAGGGCCCAAAGCAGCGAAGGCACAAAGGTGCAGCAACCGACCACGGCAGAAGAAAAGTTCGTGAGGCAGCCAAGAGCTTCCCAAAGATCTCCCAAAATTAGCCAAGTAGAATAGGAGCAGATATCCCATTGAGTACCAGCCTTGAAAAGGCTCCCTTCTATTCCCAGGTGCCCAGGTTCAATGACACAGCCGTGGTCCAGGCCCGTCCCGAAGACCAGAGGCCTGGGGCTGGATTGGGCAGGATGAGGGCAGCGATTGAGTGTCCAGGAAATGGGTCCTTTTGGATTCTGACACAATCAGCACATCAGCAAATTAAGAGCTCTTAAGCTTTAGTATTCCTTTAAGTAAATTAAAGAAAAGCACAGCCTAAAAAGCATACATCTCAAGCAAGAGGATACCAAATCTCCCCTAAACTGCCATGAGCTGAAGGGCGACCAATGTTATTTTAAATTGCCCTGGCTGTACAACAATTGTCGTAAGGATCTTTCAGAATTAGAGGAAATGGAAGGCAAATACATTTAGAGTATTATTTGGTGTTCTGGATATTGTCTCTCAAAACATGCATTCTAATTTTCAAAAAAAAAAATCTAAAAACTATTACGCACTGTAACCTTAATAATAATAATAGTAGTAAAGTTGGAAGGGACCTTGGAGGTCATCTAGTCCAACCCCCTGCTCGGGCAGGAAACCCTACACCATTTCGGACAAATGGCTGTCCAGTCTCTTCTTAAAAACTTCCAGTGTTGGAGCATTTACTGCTTCTGGAGGCAAGCTGTTCCACTGATTAATTGTTCTCACTGTCAGGAAGTTTCTCCTTAGTTCTAGGTTGCTTCTCTCCTTGATTAGTTTCCACCCGCCTTAATCTTTATCTTTATTTTCTAGTTAACAACTTTTGACAATGGAAGGTAGGAGAAGGAAGATAGGAGAAAACACTTGGGCCCTATAGAAATTTAAAATAGATGCAGAGATAGATATTAGATCGATGGATGGATGGATGGATGGATGGATGGATAGATAGATAGATAGATAGATAGATAGATAGATAGATAGATAGATAGATAGATAGATCGATCGATCACTGGACAGACTTGAACACTGGGCGCTATCTAACAAAATGAAATTCAATGGTGAAAAAAGTAAGGTTCTACATTTAGGCAAGAAAAATCAAATGTACAGGTATAGTATAGGCGGTACCTTGCTCAATAGTAGTAACTGTGAGAGGGACCTCGGAGTCCTAGTGGACATTCACTTAAATATGAGCCAGCAGTATGCCGCAGCTGCCAAAAAGGCCAACACAGTGCTGGGCTGCATGAACAGAGGGATAGAATCAAGATCACGTGAAGTATTAATACCACTTTACAATGCTTTGGTAAGGCCACACTTGGAATACTGCATCCAGTTTTGGTCACCATGATGTAAAAAAGATGTTGAGACTCTAGAAAGAGTAAGAGAAGAACAACAAAGATGATTAGGGGACTGGAGGCTAAAGCATATAAGGAAAGGTTGATGGAATTGGGTATGTCTAGTGTAATGAAGAGAAGGACGAGGAGGGACATGATAGCAGTATTCCAATATCTCAGTGGCTGCCACAAAGAAGAGGGAGTCAAGCTATTTTCCAAGATACCTGAAGGCAGGACAAGAAGCAACAGATGGAAACTAATCAAGGAGAGAAGCAACGTAGAACTAAGGAGAAACTTCCTGACAGAACAATTAACCAGTGGAACAACCTGCCTCCAGAAGCGGTGAATGCTCCAACACTGGAAATTTTTAAGAAGAGACTGGACAGTCATTTGTCTGAAATGGTATAGGGTTTCCTGCCTGAGCAGGGGGTTGGACTCGATGACCTCCAAGGTCCCTTCCAACTTTATTATTATGGATCATTGCACAGTCAGCCAATTATTCAGACTGGATTTGGCATTTTGTCTACCTATCGAGTTCTTACCAGGACCTGGGATAGGCAGATGTGGATGTTTGATGGTATTACAGATATTGTCGCAGCATGGAAGCAGTTCCTAGTAAGGCCGCCTTTTGCAATTGACTAATAGCGAATTTGTCAATGCCAATGGTGTTCAAGTGGTGCTCCAGTTGTTTTGGGATTGTACCCAAGGAGCCTATTACTATTGGTACTACCCTTGCTTGCTTTTGCCACAGTCTTTCTATTTTTATTTGTAGGTCTTTGTATTTTGTTATCTTCTCCAGTTCTTTCTCATCTATTCTGCTGTCTCCAGGCACGGCCATGTCCACTATCCAGACTTTTTTGTCTTTCTTATTGACAGTTGTTAAGTCTGGGCTGTTATGTTGCAGGTGCTTGTCTGTTTGAATTCTGAAGTCCCAGAGCAGTTTAATTTTACCATTTTCTATGACTTTCTCTATTTTATGATCCCACCAGTTTTTGCTTATAGGCAAATGATATTTTTTGCAGATCTTCCAATGCACCATTGTTGCTACTTTGTCATGCCGCTGCTTGTAGTCAATCTGTGCAATCTTCTTGCAACAGCTTACCAGGTGGGTCCACTGTTTCTTCAGCTTCTTTGCATAGGCGGCACTTACTGTCTGTTGCTGTCTTCTCAATTTTGACTTTATATGCATTTGTCCTTAAGGCTTGGTCTTGTGCAGCCAGAATTAGTCCCTCGGTCTCTTTCTTCAATTTTCCTGCTCTTAGCCATTGCCAGGTCTTGTTATTATCTGCTTTCCCAGCTATTTTTTTAACATATTGGCCATGTAGTGCTTTGTCTTCCCATGCCTCTATTCTGTTCTTCATTTGGTCTTTCTTGTAGGCCTGTTTGGTCTCTCCAGTAGTCAGTAAGCCTTCCTGATATACTAATTTCAGTGCATCTTCATCATTGTTCTTCAGATATTCTTCCAAAGCCATTTTTTCTTCTTCAACCATCTGATGTACTTGTAGCATTCCACACCCACCTATTTGCCTTGGTAGATAAAGTCTATCAATGTCACTGCGTGGATGAAGGGCGTGATTCATTGTCATTATTTTTCTGGTCTGCCTATCCATTGCTTTTAGTTCTGCTTGAGTCCAGTCCACTATTCCAGCTGTGTACCTAATGACTGGGATTGCCCAAGTGTTGATTGCCTTTATGGTATTTCCTCCATTGAGTTTGGACTTTAAGATCTTCTTCACTCTCTTGATGTATTCACCTCTAATCTTTTTCTTGACTTCAGTGTGCTTGATGTTGTCAGCTTGAAGGATACCCAAGTATTTGTAGTACTCTTCCTCATCCAGACTCTTAATGTTATTTTCGTGGGGCATCTTGATTCCTTCAGTTTTCACTATTTTTCCTTGTTTGATAGTAAGTGTGGCACATTTGTCCAAGCCAAACTCCATTACAATATCTTGGCTATATATACGGACAGTGTTGAGCAGCGATTCTATTTCAGATGATGTTTTTCCATACAGCTTCAGATCATCCATATAAAGGAGGTGGGATAGTCTGGCAGATATTTTTGATGTTTGATAGCCATGTCCTGAGTTATTCAGTATTGTTGACAGAGGAAACAGTGCAATAACAAATAGTAATGGTGATAATGAATCTCCTTGAAATATTCCTCTCTTGATATTAACCTCTCCCAGCTCTCACCATTGATCTGCAACTGTGTCTTCCATTGTGCCATCGATCTTTGCACAAATTTTCTGATGTTTCTACTGACTCCTGTTATTTCTAGACACTTGATTATCCAGTCATGTGGCAGAGAGTCAAATGCCTTTTTGTAGTCAATCCATGCCACATTCAGGTTGGTCTTCCTTTTCTTTTGTAATACATTTTTAACTTACATTATCTACCTAAGAAAGCCAGTTTGGTATCATGGTTAGTGCTTGAGGTTAGAAACCAGGTGACCTGGTGTTCTCATCCCACTTCAGGCACAAGCCAGCTAGATGACCTTCAGCCAGTCACATTCTCTCAGGTCTAGGAAGTTAGCAATGCCAAAGCACTGCTGAAATACCCTGCCAAGAAAACTGCAGGGATTTGTCCAGACAAATGAAAGCAAAGAGAGACCTGGAGTCTCTAGGTCAGTGGTGGGGAACCTATGGCACTCAGAACCCTCTCTGTGGGCATGCACACTGTTGCCCCAGTCCTAGGCCTTCAGCTGGGTTTTATAAAACCTGTTCACTTTAGGCCTCTGCTGCAATGTGCAAAAAAAAAAAAAAAAGGTTCAGTCAATCAGTCAATTTCAACTTCTCACGGGAAAAAAAAAAGATCTTGCAAAGTTGGAATTGATTGATTGAACTTTTTAGTCCCACCCAGTCTGCCATTACCATCACAGCCACGCCCACCCAATGGGCCATTCCCACCCAATGGGCCACACCCACCTAATGGGCCACACCTACCCGGCACCCAACAATGCATAAGTGGGTTTTGTGTTGCAGTTTGGGCACTCGGTCTCTAAAAGGTTCGCCATCACTGCTCTAGGTGGTACGTGGCACAATAGTAGTAATTATGAGAGGGATCTTGAAGTCCTAGTGGACAATCACTTAGATATGAGCCAGTGGTGTGCTGCAGCTACCAAAAAAGCCAACATAATTCTAGGCTGCATTAACAGAGGGATAGAATCAAGATCACCTGAAGTGTTAATGCCACTTTGTAATGCCTTGGTAAGGCCACACTTGGAATACTGCATTCAGTTTTGGTCACCACGATGTAAAAAAGATGTTGAGACTTTAGAAAAAGTGGAGAGAAGAGCAACAAAGATAATTAGGGAAATGGAGGCTAAAACATATAAAAAAACAGTTGCTGGAATTGGGTATGCCTAGTTTAATGAAAAGAAGGACTAGGAGTGACATCATAGCAGTGTTCCAATATCTCAGAGGTTGCCACAAAGAAGAGGAAGTCAGGCTATTCTCCAAAGCACCTGAGACATCCAAGGTCCCTTCCAACTTTGTTATTCTACTCTAAAACTTGTTGCATAGTGCTCGAGACGTCAAACTGGGTCGAAAGTTCACTTTCAAACATGACAACGATCCTAAACACACAGACAACACAGTAAAGATGTCAGAACCCATATTCTAAGAGGGGCTCTTTTCTATCTTTAACTCAAACTCTACTCTCTCTATACTTTTGGGTTCTGCCATGCTCCTGGAGGGAAGGAGGAGAAAGCACTGCAGGTTGTTGCTCTGGTTTCCTCTATCACTACACTGTAACACCTTGCTGTTTCTACATGCTTTGTGAACTATCTTTCCCCTTGTTGTCAGCTAGAAAGGGGGGGGGAGAAGAAAGGAAAGCGCTACGGCAACTGCTTTATCTCCAAGGTATGTGAGCCAACAAAACATCACTGCAACCAAGACAGCTGGGGATTGGCCCATGTGAACTGACCAGATGGACTTAAGGGTGGGGTTTGCTTGGGGCACTTTTAACTTATTGATCTGAATGGAAAATCCTGAGATCCTGTCTATTATGCCTGCTATCAGCTTCTCCTAATAAAAGTTCCTTTTGGAAGAATCTGCCTCTACGAGTTCTGTTTTCTTAGGATGAGGTTTTTTTTTATTGAAAAGTTTTATACAAGTTTTTAACAATATCCCCCCCCCCTGAAATAACCCCCTGACAAAAGGAGTGACTTAGGGACAACTCTGTGAATGTCTTAGAGTGACCCACCCAGAGCCCTGACTTGAATCCTATTAAATATTTCTGAAGACCTGAAAATGGCTGCCCCTCGATGGTCGCCATCCACCTGACTGAGCTTGAGAGGATTTGGAAAGAAAAATGGCAGAAAATTCTCCATCCAGGTGTGTAAAAATTATCGTCTTCTACCCCAAAAAACTCGAGGCTGTAATTCCTGCCAAAGCTGCTTCAACAAAGTACTAAGTAAAGATAAAAGTTTTAGTTTTAGGGGGAAAAAAGTCTTTTTAATCACTGTAAATTTATCTTTTTAAAATAGAATATTTTGTCAATATTTCAGGAAGAAAATTTTAAAAGTCCCAGCACATACAGAGGAAGCAAGGCAACTCAAAGAGGTATGTAATATATTGTTGTATAAATAATGGGCCCAACTTCTTTTTTTTTTACTATAACAAGTTTTATTAATTTTTCAATTTTACATCCAGATATTTAGGAAGCAGCGAGGTGATTGGGTAATCAATAGTCCAGTAACAAAATCTTTCTTACATATCTCAGGTTGCGTCATTAAAAGTTTCCTATTTCCCTTAATTATTATATCACATTCAAGTTAATATGTTTCTAATTATAGCTCAATCAATCAATACATTTATCAATATAATTTTACTTATACATTTCCAAGTCCTGTATTTAAGTTTTACCTAATTTCAAGGCTCTTTAATTGCTGTCAGTAAGTTTGTCTTTTAAAAATAGAATATTTTTTCAATATTTCAGAAAGAATCGTTTGAACGTCTGGTTCTTCTAGACCGGACCCAGGAACTGAGATGTCTGGAGGTATGTAATGTATAATTCTAGCCAGTATACTACATTAACAACGAAAACATAGAGCACCCAGAACTATTCAGACCTCCTTCACTTTTGTCAATTTTGTTATACGGCAGCCTTGTTCTACAGTTGTTGAAATTCATTTTTTTCTCATTAATTATACTCAGTACCCCACAATGACAATGTGAAAACAGAATCTTAGAAATCTCTGTAAATTTATTAAAAAGAAAAAACTGAAATATCAGCATTAGAATAAGTATTCAGACCTTTTGCAGTAACACTTGAAATTTAACTCTGGGGCACCCCGTTTCTCTTTATCGTTGCTGACATGTTTCTATACCTTGATTGGAGTCCACCTGTGGTTCATTAAATTGATTGGACATGATAGTTGATTAGAATGATAGTCATCACTGAAGCCCTTAGGCTTTATGCCAAAGTGGCTAATATTAGAATATTTTGTCAATATTTCAGAAAGAAAACCTACAGCTGAATATGCTCTTGAGATTGGATAAACCTCGACGTCTTGAGGTATGTAATGTGTAATTTTAGCCAGTATACTAAATTCACAATGAAAATATAGTGCGTTGAGAAATATTTAGATCTCTTTCACTTTTCTCAATTTTGTTATGTGGCAGCCTTATGCTACAGTTGTTGAAATTAGTTTTTTTCTTATTAATCTACACTCTGTACCTCATAATGAGAAAGTGAAAACAGAATTTTAGAAATTTCAAAAAAACCACGAAATATTATATTGGAATAAGTATTCAGACCGTTTGCAGCAACACTTGAAATTAAGCTCTGGTGCATCCCACTTCTCTTTATCGTTATTCTTTATTCTCAGTAAAGAGAATAATGAGAAAGTGAAAACAAAATTTTAGAAATGTCTGTAAATTCTATACATTTCATTCAGTAGTGTGAATTTCCAGGCAGGTATTCTTAATGTGTCATTTTAACACGTTTAAAAAGTTTCCTTCGCATTGTAGAAATTCAGGATATAAAAAAATAAAATTGAAATGTCACATCCACAGCATAATAAGCAGTTATTACCACTTAATAGAAAAATTAGCTGTTTGTCTTTTTCCATATTACTACTTTCATATTACATGCTAGTAAACTTGATTATTGCAGTAGTTAAACACCACTTCTCATAAACCAGAGCCTTAAAATTCATCATTTCCGCATGCCACATATGAACATTTACTACCAAATTTTATTCTATTACAGACATCCACAATTCTATAAAATAAACTTCCAAAAGGAAAAAAAAAGCTCTACTATGCATAATGATATTGTTACAGGAAATCTCCAAGTTATGAATGTTCACTTAACGCTCGTTCAGAGTTATGTGATGAGCATCCCCTAGTACTTAGGAGCAAGTCCCAAAGTTACGAATATTGTAGCACCACAGCAGTCGTTCGCCCTTACGAGTGACCGCAGTAGTTTTGCAACATTCACCCTGGTTATTCCCTCCCCACCCCAATCCGGGTCTCTCTAGGCACCAGCCCTTCAATACTCATCCTGCGAAGATCGAGATCCTTCTCTTTCTTGGCTGCTCCAGCCTTCAGTACATTCGCAGAGAATGGAGGGCTAAAGTAATGCAAGATCACACGAGATCAGTGGGGCGAGATCTCACGCTACTGATATCTCGTGATCTCGTGGTACTTTAGGCCTCTGTTCTCTGCAACAGAGAATAGACCTGAAGCTGGAAAACGCTTCTGTATGTCTCCAGAGGCTGGATTGGGGCTCTGGAGGCCTTTTCCAGGCCACTGGGGCCCAGATCTAAGGCCGTGAGAGGCTTTTACGCCCCCCCCCACAGCCTGATCTGGACTCCCAAAGGATTTTGCAGGGCACTGCGGCCTGGATCTAAGGCCAGGGGAAGCTTTCGCGCCCCTGGGCGTCCCGATTCAGGCTCCGGAGGCCCTTTCCAGGCCTTTTCAATGGAAGTTTTAGACAATATAGCTTAATATTATTAGCTAAATGTTACATGTAACACTCTTCAGTTATTGATCAAGTTTTGAAAGTAATATCCCCCTCCCACACCAAAAACTAAAAGACTGAAAATTTATGAATTATGGCTCATTACACATATAATCCTAGGTATACAAATCTAAAAGTAAGTCTTGTGGAAGTGAGTGGGATTTTTCAAAAGGTATGTATAGGAGACATCCTTTAACATCTCTCTCCCCACCACCCAAAAATATTGATATACATTTGGAGTAAGAGTTTCCTAACATCAAAGCAATTCACATTACTGATAACTAAGAATATTTTTAGTTGGTCCAGATTCATATGTAACCTTTTAATTTTTCTAGAGAGAAACCACCAAATAAGAACAGCTTGCCAATGATACACAGGAACCAGGCCAGGGGAAGCTTTCGCGCCCCTGCGCATCCTGATCCAGGCTCCGGAGGCCCTCTCCAGGCCTTTTCAATGGAAGTTTTAGGACAATGTAGCTTAATATTATTAGCTAAATGTTACATGTAACACTCTTCAATTATTGATCAAGTTTTGAAAGTAATATCCCCCTCCCACACCAAAAACTAAAAGACTGAAAATTTATGAATTATGGCTCATTACACATATAATCCTAGGTATACAAATCTAAAAGTAAGTCTTGTGGAAGTGAGTGGGATTTTTCAAAAGGTATGTATAGGAGACATCCTTTAACATCTCTCTCCCCACCACCCAAAAATATTGATATATGTTTGGAGTAAGAGTTTCCTAACGTCAAAGCAGTTCCCATTACTGATAATATTCATACGTAACTTTTGATTTTTCTAGAGAGAAACCACCAAGGAAGAACAGCTTGCCAATGATACACAGGAACCAGGTGGGGTCATCAAGCAGTAGAAGCTTCATGAGTCCCTGGCAAAGAACTGTGGATGGTACAACAGCAGAAAACAAGCAAGAACATCTTGAGAAGACGAAGCGTCATCGGGACAGACATGAATTAAATAAACAATGGCTTAAAGCCTGTCTGGACAGTCTCAAAACTAAAACGACAAAAGAATCCAGGCGAAATGTATTGCAGTGGCTGCAAAAATGCCGTAAAAGCCTTAATGGAAAGTCCTGCCAAGCAGGACCTAGTATCTCCCTGGGAACATGGCTTGTGAATTCCTGGATCAAGTTTGAGAAGGAACATCCTGAAGAATTCATGGGGGATGTGGCTAGTTGGCTGGAGATATCCCTAAAACATATGGAACTGAGAGGGCCAAAAACACGTGCTTTGACACCAGAGGAATGGCTTGAAGCATCTGTTAAAGCCATTCAAAATCTATTGAATTCTGAAGCAAATCTCAAAGTAGCCTACGATGGCTTGTAAAGTCATTAAAGAAATCAACATTCTGAAAGATGTGTGGAGAATATAATGGATTCCCTGGATCTTTAGTAAGCCTCTCACTTCAGCAACCCTTCTAAAACCTGCAAGGGGTTCAGCAATCCTGAGGCATCTAAAGTATGTGAAAAAGTGGCTTGAAATAGCCATAAATCATCTCCATGAAGAAGAGCCAGAAACATCCCATCTAAATTTGGAGGAGGGATTGGAAGCATCTAAACGTGGCCTGCAGGAGGAAATACTTCAAGAGATGATAGGAAACAAAGATCCTGAAATATGCAGAAAAAAAATACATGTTTCCAAAGGAATTCTTTCTCACAGAAAACAGGAATGTGAAGAGCCAAAATAAATAATTATATTCAGGGTGAGCTAAATATTCCTGCTTTTTTCTCTTCCTGTTCCTTATATATTGAACCAAAAAGGAAATTGCTTTGCTTCTAGTACTGGGTAGCAAGGGGGAACTGGAAAGGAAGAGGGCAGAGCATATGTTTGCACGCAGTGAATTCCGGGGAAGGAAGGTGTCCCTGCAGGTTTTCCCCCACTAGTTGTGGCCGACTTTAAGTGACGTTGCTCATCTCCATTTGTTAAGGCAAAGAGCCGGTGTTTCCTGGAGGTGTTTCCGTGGTCATGTGTCCAGCTTGACAGCATGGTGCAACACAGAGGGTATGGTGATATACAGAACCAACCAGGACCTAGTATGTGCCTGACAACATGGCTTGTAAATTCCTGGATCAAGTTTCAGAAGGAACATCCTGAAGCATTCCTGGGGGATGTGGATAATTGGCTGGAGATATCCGTAAATCATACGGAAGTTACAGTGCCAGAAACATATGATTTGACACCAGAGGAATGGTGAAAATACCTAGATTCCTGTGCAAAAAGTATCACTATGTACTTTAGGCTAGAGAAAATGAAAACATTTAGAAACAGGCTTCATTGTGAACCAGTCCAAGAATCCATTGGAGTTGGATGGCTAAAAAATGTAACGAATTAACTAACAAGCTAATTGTTTCCAAGCCCCTTTCCTCTCTGGTGACTATTGAAAGCAGAATATTCAGGGCTCATCTGAAAGCTGAATTTGAGGGTACAGGGCTCAGATACAGTACAATCTTGTTGTAGTAGCATGAAAAATCTCATACGTTCATATCAGTGCTTTGAAGTTCTACACCAATCTACAAAAGAAAAGAAGTTCATTCTGTTTCTTGGCATCATTTTTCTGTAGCCTCCTGGATCATCCAGCATGGTGCTTTATGAAGGAGAGGTGTCACATTTTGCTGAAGACCTGAAGAAATGGAAGGAGAGATACACATTGAAAGTAATCACACTGTGGAAAGTTTTGAAAGCAAAGAGGTAAACTGTTCATTTATTAAGCTCTGAGGCAAGCATGATGTTTAGCCCTGCTGATTTGTTGGGTTCTATTCTGAGATGCAAAACTAGTAAATGAGTATACTTTCTGAGCCACTGGGCACATTTGTAACCCCTGGAGCATATTATAGACAGATGTGTAAAATAAAATACTAATTTACACATTGACAAAATAGGAATTGAGGTGCTTTGCTAACTCATTCCACCAATCTGGGACATCAATGACATGACAAGAGTAGCATGTTGAAGAATGGAGATTGGTTTGTGGGCTGGTGGGGGACGGGGGGGGGGAAGAGAACAATAGAAATTTCATTTAGTGAGACTTGAAAGATATAATGTAATAATCCACTTTTCCTAGAGAGGCTATGGAGAAAATCAGTCTCATTTATTGACAGTGTCTTCTAATAGCTGATAATGATGCTAAACAAAAATACCTTTACTCATGGGAAATGCTTGCACAACCTGATGAGCCCTATTTTCACTTTCAAAGCATTAAGCAGAGTTGCATTCTTGCCCCATCATTGCCTAGCTTTTAAATTAATGGGATTGATCAGGAGAAAGTCTTAGAATATCGTATCAAAGATGCCCTCCATCATCATTTACTTTTAAGGAAAAAAATCTGTACCATACCCCCAAAAAGTTAATTCTATTACTTGATTTCATATTTAATGTATAATAAATGTTATACATACTTGTCTAATTTATTTTATTTTACACATACTATTATATTAATGTTTAATAAATGATCCTATCTTCCAGGAGGATCCTAGAATCCTACTAGAAGAGAAAATGCAGTTTTAAAAAAGTTAAGATAAATGGAAATTTTAAGTGAGGCTGGGGTGAATGAGCTATGTGGTTACTTAGAGCATTTATTTACCTCCTATTCTTTTTGAAATTTAAGTGTTGTTCACATTCTCTCATTCATTTTTAGGAGCCGCTTCTTAAGTCAAAGGTGCTTTTGTGTTTTGTTTTGTTTTGTTTTTTAAAAAGAAAATCTTTACTACTGTTTCTTAATTCTGGGCATTCCAGAAAAGAGTAAGTTCAAAGACTTGCATTTTCCCTGTTGGGAAAGTGCTAATTACAGGGGAAGAACATAACTCACTATCTGATAAACATTTCCCAGAACCTAATGGTAAGGTATAGCCCATCCCCCTTTATTTTTTATACTACTTAGCATTTTAAGTGATGTTCTCTTTCAAGTGTTGCATTGTCTTCATAAAAGGTTACACACATGGTTTAAAGGCCTGCATTTAATAAGCTTGCCTACCTTACACAATAAAGTGCTGTCCTATGATTGTCCTGAAATGTAATATAGTTTGAGTCATATCAGACTCAAAAGCCAGAGCAACAACTGAAGCTCAATAGAAGCAAAGAAAGTAATAGACAGAGACATAATCAAAGTCAAGTAAACACTAATATTCAAGAAAACAGACATTGAGGCACAATTCTGATGCCAGAGACAAATTACTCAGATTAGGGATGGTATGTATGCATATATTTATTACATTTATATAACTGACCATCTGATGCACATCACTTATACATTCTGAATCTGGGGAACTTTGAGTCCAGACTAAGGAATCTGAATGCTCATATAGGCTGGGTGGTGTCTAGAGCACTTAGAGTTGCAATGAAAACTAAGCATAGGTGGCACAAATGTTAAGGCAGGATTACCTGTCTACTGGGAATTTGTCTATAATTACATGTAAACCTGTTGGAATGACTAAAAACATAAACGTATGCATATATTTAAGGTTCCAGTGAAAAGGAGAATACCCAGGCTTTTGTTGTCCCTCCAAAGGAATTTCCAGTCTACCTGTGGCAGCCATTCCTTAGACATAATTATTACTGTTTTCCGGATTTAGAAGCTCAGAAGCAATTCAGCACCATGCTGAACGATTGCATCAGGCACTTAAACCATGGTGAGTATAGCAGACATAATCTGATAACTTTGCTATTGTTCTGCCTTTCAGAAAAAGATCTGTTTGACCATTGGTTGCAAACTAATCCATGTAGCAAAATGAAAATCTAACTTTCTCTTGCATTATCCCGATAAGTAATGACATGCTTAGAGTTGACCAACAACTTTTAAATGAGAGACATATGGCTTTGTGTTATATACATGCTTATCTCTTTAAGGATCAGCTAGTGGGTGAGGGGTGGAGAAACCAATTGTGTTGACAGGCGCAAAATCATCCTCTATATTGTGGGGAGAACCTGGCTGGTAATTCAGTCAGGCATGGAGAAAGCAAAAGCTGGGTTGGCAATCCTGTTACTTGTTTCCTTACACTGTCATTTTGTCTAGCTCCACCCCTTCCCACCTTGCCTCACCTTGTGGCAGCAGCACCAGAGCGACACGTGTTCTCCTGCCCCATTGCGACTGTGAGCAACCAGACGGTGGGATGGAGTGCGTGGCTCTTAACTAGGGCGTGTTTTGGGGTAGGGGTTATGTTAGGCACATGCTAAAAAAGCATGGTAGGGCTTATTTTCTGGGTTGTCTTATTTTCAGGGAAACATGGTAATTTCTTCTGGTACAAATTTGTGGTGTGGAAGATCACATTCACACTAAAACAATACAATGATACAAATTGTTACCACTATACAAAGATGGAGAAGAAAGTAACTACAGTACCTGAAGTGTTCTTTCAAGTTCATATAAGCTGGGTTCCCATGTTTTGCTCAATGGTTGTGTGCCATTTGTCTGTAGGGTCTAAGACATGGCTAAAAGAAAAAAAGAATCATCTTCATCATCATTTTGATCCTACCTTTTCACGTATAACACAAGATGGCAAACATGCCCAATATTCCTGCTTCTTATTTTTCCCACAACCACCTTTGAGGTGACTTGGACTGAGAAGGACCAGCCCAAAATCACCAGCACTTTTCATAATTTTAATAAGCCCTGTAGATTGGATAGATTGGATAAGCATAAGCATAGTCTTGCTAGAGCAGGATAAGAGCCATTCTAGTGCAACGTTTTGTTTCTTAGAGTGGTTAATGAAATACCTTTAGGGTGCTCTCAAGTAGAAGATGGAGAATTTACCTTTATCCCACTACCGTTCACCTAAAATTGGTATTTGGAATCAAACTGTCCCCAACGCAGAGATAAAATTGGGTCTGCAAACTTTCTAGTTTTTAAACTAACATTCCATGAATCTATCCAATCCCTTTTAAAGGCATTCAAGTTAGTGGCCATCGCCATGTTTTGTGGTAATCAATTCCACAGATTAATTATACACGGTGAGAAGTACTTTCTTTTTCTTGATCTCTTCAAGTTCAGGTAGTTTCCTTGGATGACTACTGGTCCTAAAGTTTTCAGACAATGTGAAAAATTTCTCCCTGTCTACTTCTACTCTATATATGATTTTATCCATTTTGATAAGGTTGTTTCTCAACTGATTTTTTTCTGCATTCCGTATGTAACAAACTACATCCCTCATACTATTTCCAGTTCCACTATGCATTTTTATTTCTCAAACTTTAACACAGAAGCTACTTTGTGGAACAGAATAGAATAACAGAACAACAGTTGGGAGGGACCTTGTGTTGTTTAAAATATAAATTATTGCAGCCTTTTTCTTGTTTTCTTCTTGTGACAACATAGGCTCACAAACATCTGACTGTGGTTTATCAAAATAACTGTGGTTTAATAGACAACATGAAACAACAACATTCAGGGAGCATACAGAATACAAGGCAGTGAGTTATATTCAAATGGTTCAAGTGAGTGCAGGGTTCCAACTGTCATTCTCCTCAGGTACAATTTCTCAAAGGTACATCACCCACTAAATACTCTGCTGACTCATTCTCTATACATCACCTCTGCTGTTCAGCTACTAAATTATAATTACCTTGACATGTGCTCCTAGTCTGGTAAAGAAACTTCCGAAACCAACCCACAAGCTCAGAGAACGAGCTTCGACCCACATTAAATTCTATTTATAACATATGTAGGTAGGATAGGCAGCACTTTATTCACAGAAGAAAGTAAGGTTTCATAAATAAAATTTATGAAATCTTTTCCCCCACAACATTGCTTTAACTGTGGTTTAATTGACAACATGAAACAACAACATTTAGGGAGCATACATCATACAAGGAGGTCAGTTATATTCAAATGTTTCAAGTGAAGTGCAAGGTTCCAACTGTCATTTTCCTCAGGTACAGTCTCTTAAAGGGACACCACCCCAAAATACTCTGCTTTGCCAGTCAGCTACTAAATTACAATTACCTTGACACCTTGGAGGAGGTCTTTTAATCCTCTGCTCAAGCAGGAAACCCTATACCATTTCAGACAAATTGTTGTCCAATCTCCAGTTGATCCCCTCTTCTTTGTAGCAGCCTCTTAGATAAAAGGAAAACTAATATCGTGTCCCCTCTAGTCCTTCTTCTGTTTAAACTACTAAAGCCTTCTCATTCAGGAACAGGTACAATTGGCACAGCAGATGGAGATGTGCAAAAGCCCTTTTCATTATAAACCACAACTGCCTCCTCTCTGAGCAAGAACTGCAAGTCCAATATTATTGGATTCCAGAAGATTTGTTGAAAAAAAATTACTAGGTTTGTTTAATCATGATTTATAAAGTCATAATGATTATACTCATGTACATTGAGAGGTTGATAAATTGATATAACCTAATTTGACTTCTCTTAGTTGATTCACAACGAATGACCATTCATCACTTCAACTTCAGTTTCAACTTCTATTCTTTTTTCTTTCGTTCAATGATATCCAATTCTCACAGACTTCCTAGACAAGTCCTATAGCTTTTTTGCTAGGTTTTCAGAAGTGGCTTGCCACTGCCTCTTCCTAGGGCTGAGAGAAAATGACTGGCCAAAGGTCATCCAGCTGCTTCATGCCCAAGATGGGACCAGCACTCACAGTCTCCCAGTTTCTAACTAAAGCCTTAAATACTACATCAAACTTGCTCTTCTACTTCTAGTACAGTACTTAATTTCTTTGATTGTTTCTTTGACTATTATAAGACAGGCTAAATGAATTATTTTCTATTTTTTGGTGAAAACACTTTTTTGGATAAATAATTCTGCAGCAGATCATTTTCTTTGGAAGCAAATCAAATCGTATTACAAATTTTTAGAACACTCTATATCTTGATATCTTCTGTATCTCTAACCTTGAAATTTAGAGGGAATTTTATCAACCCTCTGAAAAGTCTACCGGTTATTTTTGCAAATATCACTTATATACATATAGACTCTAATTGAAACAAGCATACATAAAACTGTGATTCACATATAGGTAATATGCAGGCTCTGAAGAGCATAGATAATTATTGCACTATTAATACATTAAATTCCTGCAATGGTGGCAAATATCTGTAGCTCAGGTGTAGGATGAGGATGGAGTTTCGTTCTGTTGTTTAAAATTATAAATTATAGCAGCCTTGTTCTTGTTTTCTTGTTGTGACTACACAGGATCGCAAACATCTGACCGGGGTTTATCAAAATAACTGTGGTTTAATATACAACATGAAACAACAACATTCAGGGAGCATACAGAATACAAGGCAGTGAATTATATTCAAATGGTTCAAGTGAGTGCAAGGTTCCAACTGTCATTCTCCTCAGGTACAATTTCTTAAAGGGACACCACCCCCTAAATACTCTGCTGACTCATTCTCTATACATCACCTCTGCTGTTCAGATACTAAATTATAATTACCTTGACATGTTCTCCTAATCTGGTAAAGAAACTTCTGAAACCAACCCACAAGCTCAGAGAATGAGCTTCGACCCACATTAAATTCTATTTATAACATATGTAGGTAGGATAGGCAGCACTTTATTCACAGAAGAAAGTAAGGTTTCATAAATAAAATTTATGAAATCTTTTCCCCCCACAACATTGCTTTTAACCATTGAAGCATACTGACCAATTATCAATCAAATATTATCTAAATATTATCATTTGACCCCAGATTAACCTATGACAAAGTCAACAAATATTCAATGAAACTAATACTATCGTAAACATAAGCATCTTAAAATCTCATCATTTAACCACACTTTGAATTTTACAATTTTCAATGTTGGAATATTGCTGGAACAGGGCAGTGGTTCAGCAGTTAAGACGCTAGGCTTGTCAATCGGAAAGCCAGCAACTAGGGTTCGAGACCCAAGAGCCTCATCCTATCCTCACCCCAGCTCCTGCCAACTAGCAGTTCAAAAGCATGCAAATACGAATAGAGAAATAGGCACCACTTCGGTGGGAAGAGAAACAGCACTCTGCAATGTCCAGAACCCTGGAAATGTCTTCAGACGCAGACAGCGCTGGCTCAATGGCCTTCAAACGGAGATGAACACTGCCCGCTATAGTTGGCAAGAGCTAGCGGAGTAAAATGTGTAGAGATCCTTAACCTTTTTTCAAATGTTGGAAACTGAATGACAGAATTCCCATCTTATTTGGTTTAAACTTAAAGCAGTGAGTTTTACCATTTGGAACAACAACAAAAAGTCAAGTTCTGCCTTTAAAAAGGGGGGATGTCATCACCAAACCAACTGCACTCTTTTGACAAACCTAGAAACCCACAATCTGTCCTACCGACAAAAAGCAGCATCTCTTGGTGAACCCGGAGAATTTTTGGAAGCTCGGAGAGTTCAAAGTCCCCAAGGGATGCCCTTGAAAAACGAAGCAATACCTAGCAACCAAAGCTCTTTCAAAGGGACTAAGCCACTGCATACGGTGCTACACGTTATCTATCACCCGTCAAAATACACCTCCTTTCACCTTCCGCCGACTAAAAACATTGTTTTGGTCCTAAAAAGACGGCGGCAACAAGCACCCCACTTGTGCTTCTCAGAAAAGAGCTGTCCCTGGGCCAAAAGCGACGAACACACAATGCAACCCTTCGCATTGAAGGTTCGAGACCCAAAAAGTCCCAGAAGGAAGTAGCTGGGCGCA